AGTACTTTTTTAAGTGTACAGAAAAACTCTACTTTAATATTGTTTCTATTGAATTTTATATAGCATGTACATTAACCCATTTGTCTGGTTTTCAGATTATGCCTTACTCCTGCTTTGCAAAACTGAAGTAAGCATTTTTCCTGTTCTTCACAGCTCTTCTGTAATCTTACATACACATTGATTTACTTCTCACTGGATATTTTTTGCTAAATGTGTCTGTCATAAGCATCATTATCTCTGCATTCATTTCAGCCAAAAGAGCCCCATAGTTTAGTTTCGAATGCCCCTGTTGTCTTTGGTTGGGTTGCATGAGTTCATTACAGACCAGGAGACTATTTGCAAACGTGTTCGTTTATACAGGCCTAAGTAGCATGCACACCCCAAAGTACAAATTACACACATGGATTTATTTGGGTGTGAACTGTCCTAATTAGCAGACAATCTTCTAGCTAGTCTATACCTATAAAACATGGATTGAGAAGCAAGAAATTTTTTTTCAGTTTTAGTTCTGCTCTGCATTCTGGATAAATTGCTCGTTCCCTAGTGCAACTTTGTAAGAGACAATGGCTGATGATTATGTTAATATTAAACTTATATGAACCATCACAAAGCTTATATGAACCCTTTATCCTAAAACTTCTTTAACCCTAAAATAAGCTGTATCACTGTGTGATAGTATTCAAAAACTAACCTAAAGACTGTCTTATTCATTTTGAGAGAAAGTTTGATTCCATTCTCATAAAAGTGTACATAGAATTGCTCATATATTATTATATATTATTCACATCTATGCCTCTGTATGATGTATATTATCCTTCTAGCATAAAGGAGCCTACCCGGTTGAACAGTAATACGGAAATGCTGCACAACTGAGTGCACGTCTTACCTGCCATTAGTTCACATTTACTTTCACTGAATTCATGGTGCAACTGCATCGCTGGAAAGGCCTGTTTCCACTGGCCACAACTTCAGCAAACACAGGTCCTGCTGTTTCTTTTTCACCTCTGGGCTTCTGTGAAACTTCTCCTGAAGTTGGGATGCACATGGGTCGAGAACAACTGGTTCCATTGATCAGGGTCTGGTTTCTTCTACTCTGTTAGACATGGATGTGCTCGGCTTCCATCTGTCTGTCATCCTGTTCAGAGCGTCCGAGCCAAACTACGTGGTATCTCTTGGGCAGGAAGGTTAAGTCCCCTGGCACAAATAGCATTCAGCAACTGAATGAATAAGACAGCTTGGAGATGGGCTTTTTATTCATAGGAAACCAGATAGCCTTTTTGATGATAAAATATTTATTCTCTATTATCTTGTTGCCAAGACTACTGCATGCAGCACATTTCTTAAAAGGAGCTTGGGTGCTAAAGAGGTTGCAGGTATTAGTAGAGTTTATTTTATTTTGAAAAATACCTTGAATGACATTCTATTGCCAAGAACTGAGTGTGGTTTGCCATTTAATTTTGACTGACATCACAGCATGTCCCACTTTCAATCGATACTTTTTTCTTCTCCTTTTTAATCATTACTTTCCTCTAAGAAAAAAACATCTTTCCTTTATAGCTTAAGAAAGTGAAGCCGAATATGCAGTCAGTTTTAAGGCAGCTCAGTGAATTAATTGGGGTACTTTAGAGAAATCTAACTTCACAAGTGAACATTTGGCAATAAAGCTATTTCATACACTTGCATTGTTTTAACTATTTACAAAGTACCAGCTAAGTCTTGTGGGAGATCCAAAGATCTTAGATAGCACCTCTGCCCCTTCGGGTTCCATTTGGGGGTTCACCAGCACACACCTACAGATCATTCTACACCAAGGCAGGCTCTGATGAGCCCTGTGAAAAGAATACAAAGTTCTAAAGCATATGGAATTCTGACTGGCTGTTTCCAGGAGGACGCCAAAGAAATGCTGTCTTTGAGTTGACCCTTGATGAATAATCAAAATAAGTAACATTTATTGAGTACTAACTAAATGCTAGTACTCTTCAAAGGACTTTAAACTTATTAATTCATTTAATTATCTTTTTTGGACCCTTCCTTTAAAAAAGATTTTACTTATTTATTTTAGACAGAAGGGAAGGGAGGGAGAAAGAGAAGGAGAGAAACATCAGTGTGTGGTTGCCTCTTGTGCACCCCCTCTTGGGGACCTGGCCTGCAACTCAGGCATATGCCCTGACTGGGAATTGAACCAGAGACCCTCAGCTTCACAGGCCAGAGCTTAATCTACTAAGCCATGCCAGATGGGGCTTAATTCTTTTTACTTTTTATGATTAACCTAATCAGTCTCTTTGTATTCCCATTGTTATAGTTACATCCACTGAGGCATAGGACAGTTAAACTTGTCAAAGGTCATAAAACTAGTAAATGATGGAGTCAGGATTTAAATTTAAGGAGTCTGGCACCAGAATGCTCTTTCTTATTCAGAACAGCATACCACTCCTTGTAAGAAATAAAAATGATGTCACCAGGCAGATTCAAGTAGTGGGAGCAGCTCAGCTACCACCATGGAGGAGAGAAAATTCAGGTATGTTTGGAAAGTTCAAACTTATTACTGTGGCTTAAACTGGTTAACAGGGGATGTGTAATAGAAGATCCGCAGGAAATGCCAGCAGGACCGGATGGCAGGGGACCTGGAACGCCGGCCCGAGGAGCAGCCGTGGGGAGCGGCAGAGTGCCGTGGGAAGATTTTTGTGCCAGGGAGACCTGGCAGAGGGGGGGACTGAGAGATGGGAGAGAAGGACATCATTTAGGGATCTGTTACTTAGTTAAATCTTTTTTTAAAAAACACTGTCTTTTTAGCCTCTCCTATGTGCCAGGCACTGTTCTGAGCGTTGTTATATAGCAGGAAACAAGGGAGGCTTCCAACCTCATCATGTGACGAGATATGGACAGTATGTAAATAAATGGATAAACAAGCAAGCTAATTTTATATTGTTCTGAAAGAGAAAAGTATGTTGATAGATGTGATGGAAATTGACCATAGGCAGGGGAATGGCCACTTTGGAACGCCGGCCCGGGAAGGCCTCTCTGAGGATGTGACGTGCCACCTGAGGCCTGACAGGCAGAGCAGCCTGTCACAGGTGAAGGCAGGACAGGGCTTCAGCCAAACAGGACTTGGATTCATTTAGCATCCCAAGCAGAGGTTACAATGCAAAAGCTCTAGATTTGGAAGGAGCTTGAAGTGTTCATGAGACAGGGAAAAAAAGGCCCCAAAGAAGTGCTTAGCAAAAGCCAGGGAGTGGAGCACTGGCTGCGTCCCCGTGGGTGAGGGTAAAGCTTTTGTATTTTATTCTGAATGAACTGGGAGGCCAGTGGAAGGTTTTCAGTAAGTGAATGGCTTGCCCTGTTTCATAGTTAGAAAAGATTACTCTGGATAATACACAGAGAATGGATTGTAAGGGGACAGGAGTGAAAGTAGGAAGATCAGTTAGGAGCCAAATTGCAGAGGTCCAGACACAAAAGACGTTATATGGCCTAGACCTTGAAGGAGGAGAAAGATGGATGGATTTAGGTGACATTTTGGAGTCAGAGTGAAAAAGATTTGAATTAGGTGAGAGATGTGGGAAAAAGAAAGGCACCGAGTATGGTTCCAAGAATGTTGGCTTAGGTAAGAATGTAGTGCTAGTAATTGAGATGGAGAGAACTTTCTTGGGATAGAACATTGAGTCCTGCTATGGACACAGTGAGGACGTTCTTAGGGGTAACTATGGCAGCCTCTTTGAGGATGTTCAAGTTTGGATGAGACAGATGAATACAAGGCAGACTACAGACATCTAAGTAACCGACTGATGGGATTGAATACGAGGGTGGGGATTTTGATTACTTTAGGTTTTGAGTCTGAAGAAAGAGAAAGGTAGCAACACCATTAACCAAAATAGTAAAAGAGTAGGGAGAATTTGGAAGAAAGAAGGATTAATGAAGGCCAGGAACCTGGAATTAGTGGATAAGCACACATGCTTTGGAATCTAAAAGGATTCCATAGAATCTAAAAGAATCTACACATGCATAGGAATCATGCAATATATATTATTATCACTACCTCTTATTATTACTATCATCATAATAATATAGTATAATAATAATACCTTTGGGATGTGTTATTAATTGATTATTATGAAGATAATAATTTTGTGGTTATTAGTTTCTTTTAAGTAAGGCTGGCAAGCATATTAACCCAGATTTTAGATTCAATATTCCTTATTGTTATATTTAATCATTAAAACAAACTCAGAGTCATTTAGGTACTTATCCCGTTGAAATAAACTGAGGCTAAGAAAGAGTAACATGCCCCAGGTTACACAGCTACCTGGAAGAGCCAGGACTCACGCCTAGATCTGACTTGCTCCAAATAAAAGAGTCCTCCCACCCCACCCATCCCTCACCCACAGAGGATTCATTTCATGATCCTCAGTGGCTTCCTGAAATTGCAGATAGTACCAGAACCTATCTATACTGTGTCTTTTCCTATATGCACATACTTATGATAAAGTTTAAACCACTCTTGCGCTTTGGGGCTATTATTAAGTAAAACAAGAGTAACTTAAAACAAGCTCTGTGATACTGTGCTAGTAAATCTAATAACCAAGATGGCCACTAACTGGCTAAGGAGTGCGTAACATTTTGTGGATGTGCTAGACTAATGTATGGTTCATGTTTGGGCAGGACAAAGTGTGGTAGTGAGAGGTGTTATCACACTTCTCAGAACAACACACAATTTTAAACTCATGAATTGTTTATTTCTGAAGTCCTCCACTTAATATTTTCATATTGTGTTTAACTGCGGGGCACTGAAACCATGGAGAGCAAAACCGTGGGCATGGGGGCTACTCTCATTCTGAATGCTTCCCCAATTCACCACTTGATATAAAATAGAAACACCTTTGCATCAGCTTGCCAGTACTCTGGGATCTATGCTGAGTGAATAAATCTGTTTTATGAAAATGTTATTAGCAAACCACTCCCGTGGATTTCACAGTGTGAAACCATGTGTCTCCTGGAATTTTCAGTGCTGGACCATGCTCCCCTCAAGGCCTGTCTTTGGAGGAGATGAAGAGAAGTCTTCAGTTCTCATCCATCGACAAATATGGTAAGTGTACACCTTCTTCAGGCTGATTAAGGAAACTGTGCAGGTAGGTGATACTCTATTTGATAACCAAGAGGAAAAAATTCTATTTTGTAGTAACTACAACTGAAGGATGCTTTTAAAACATTATAAAAATTCAAAATTTGATCCTGAAGTTGAAGTGTAATTCTACCTTTATCTTTGAGTTTAATAATGTGTGACAGTGCATGGGCATAAGTGTGGAAGTGTATGTACGAGTATATTTTAGGAAGTGTGCACATGGGAAAATGTACAGCTCTGATGAGAACAACCTCCTGCATCTCTCAACACTCAAACACCTTGCTTCCGCCTTACTGAGTCCACTGCCTGTAAGCCCCACATCTCAGGCATGCAGAGAGGGAGGAGAAAGACAAGTTTCCATAATTACATCATGTGCTGGGTAAATGCTTCCCCTTTAGCAAGCACCTGAGGGTAAAAGGTAAACCTAGACATTTCCTCAAAAAGTTGGAGAGGAAGTGAGGGTATCACTGATGGGATCCATGTTGCACAGGACTACTTTTAAAAGAAGTAATATTAATAAAGTTCTTTGAAATAGTTAACACAGTTTTATGCAGGCCCCTCAAGCCAGAAGATGGACAATTGCCCTTGTGATTAGCTGCCATATTAATGTGTGAGGCCGATGATGTCCTCAGCCTGAGATGCTCTCTATTTAATCGGAATTTTAGCACAATGGGCTCATTTATTCATAAGAACTTCCTCTGACAATGTGGGTAACTGAAAACAGTGTATGTCATAAAGAGATCAGCTTTATTATAAGAACTGGGTTTGGGGAAGAATAAATTGGAGGCTGTGTCCCAGGTGCTCTGAGTTCAGTGGTGCTGGAGCCAGGAGACCCTCAGTTTTGGGATCCTTTCCACTGTGCCTCATCTGCAGAGTATCATCACCTAAGGCATTAGGGAGCTTTTGAGAAACAAAGGAGGAAATTATTCTGGAGAGATGCAAACTACTCAGGATCAAATTAAAGGAAGGAAACTTTGGCTTCTGACCTCCAACACGTGTCTAGAATGCAGCCTAGTGCTTCATAGCATCAGCATTAATACACAGTTGGCCAGTCCAGTCACGGGGGGAAGTGTGCTCTAAGTGTCCCATCATCACACTTGTCACAGACATCATTTTCTCACGCCTCTAGAGCTCCGACTGTGCAACCACAAAGTATAGGGCAGCCTTTGCCATGTGTGCTCTCATCAGCAGCCTTTCCTTTCATGGTAGAGTTTTGAGATGAAGCACTTCGTTAGCTTAATGATCTGTTTCATAAAGGAAGGACTTTGAGTAGAATTCTCAAGATGGAGAAACAAGACAAAGTGATGCAATAATATAAAAGTTGGGCTTTTCTATGCATATCTGTAGAAAACAGGTTGTTCGGATGGAGTGAGATCCCCAATAGACAAAGAAGATAGATCTGTTATCTTCTGCTAGGAACATCATACTGTACAAAAAAAAAACACCTTTAACTGTCCTCCATTTCCATTTCATAAACCAATTGTGGTATAACAGCAACTTTATAAACTGTTTCTTCTCCCCAGCCCTCCACCCCAAAGAGCCCTTCTAGAGAATAGAGATAAAATCAAGTATGTAGTTATTTTCTCTGTACTTGAAACTTTTCACCCTAAAGTAACAAAACGTGCAGACGTGGTTCAGTCTTTTCTTAAAGCCTGCAGTCACATTTCACTTGAGTGCCTCTCAAGCTGAGTGGCTACCCAAGTGCAACACGTCTGCCCTTCAACTCCGGCAACGATGGCATCAATAATAAATGTTGGCATCCGTGCCCTGCTGATTTTGCTATACCTCCCTGAAGGAGAGCCTGCCCATGCCGGAGGGCTGTGCACTCACAATCAGATTTCCACCGGAGTGTTCTGGGGAAAGAGGCTTGGAGCATCGTAAACCAATAAACCACATGCAGTACATCAGAAGGTGGATTATAGCAATAAAAGGATTATGACCTATTAAAGCATCTATCTACGCCTGAATGAAGTCACAGTTTCAGGTTGGATAAAAGGAAATACGTTTGCTCCGGGGTATAGATTTTCTTTGAGCCCACCCAGAATGAGGATTGGGGAATGTGTATCCTGCTCCCCCTCATCTCAGGTTCCCCCTTCCTTAGATGTGACCGGGGCCAGGCCCACTGGAGGAGGGTGCTCAGCAGCATCAGCAGCATCAGCAGCTGTGGCATTTCCCGGCAAGAGAGTTCATGTGCTTCCTAAGAGATTCCAACAGAGAGCTCTCTTATGAAAATGAATATGCCTATCCAGCTGCATCTTGCTACATATCTTGATGAAAATGTAGGTGGCTGAGTTGCTGAAAACTCATCTATCTACGGGGAGCGAAAGCTATTGACAAATGTGTCCATCTTCCCAGAAGCAGTGAATAGCTTCCTTACTCGGAGTACCAAAGTAACTGCTCCCCTGCACATGTCCTGAGAGTTTTCTAGCACAGTGGCTGCCTCCTGAGCCACTAGCTCCATTTTCTGGACACACTCAGGGCTGTTGCTTCAGTGAGCAGCAAATATCACTGAGTTTTAGACCTAAGCATTCATGTGCACTTAAAAATCAGGCTCCTAGGTAGAGTAAAACACCAAGCAGAGCCAAACTGCTCCAGAAAATGGCTCCTTCCTTTTTCTCTACTGCTATCCCTGCCTTCCCTTCTTGAGCCATCATTTTTTTTTAGCATTCACTATGTATCAGACCCTGTCCTCATTGACTTGTGTGCCTTACCAACCTTATGAGTAAGTATTATGATGTCTCCCATTTACTGATGAAGACTCAAGGCTTAGAAAGGTTAAGTTGACAAAAGTCCCAGAGCCAGTAGACAGAGAAGTCAGGGTTTAAACCCAGGTTTGCCTGACATGGAAGCCCATGTTCTTAGTCATCATGATATAACATCTTTCTAAACTGTACCCTTCTTTACTCCAAATTCAGCATGCAACCTGGCCAGCTTGGGTCCAAAACAGACATCTATGTTTGTTGTGCCAGCAACTCTTGTCCAGACTCAGTTTACACGAGCCAGGAGGAGCTGCTTAGGAGCTGTGCTGTGCCCTGGGTGAGGCCGGTGAGAAAGGGGAGATGGACTGGAAGGCCAACGAGTAACACCTGAACTTTCTTTCTCACGCAGGCTACGTGTCTGATCCCATGAGCCCGATGCATTTTTATTCTTGCCGGAACAGTGGTGGCTCTGAGGACAGCATCTGACAACATTCTGCATATGCCTAAGGAGAGTTTTCCCCCAGACAGACACAACAATTCCAACCATGGCAGAGTTGCTTCAAACACAATGTTTTACCCTCTAAATTCTCCTTAAATTTGCTTATTTATACTTATATTGGTCCTATGTAAGTCCTTACTGGTCCTATGTAAGTCCTTAGCTATGAGCTTTGGGTTCATAGCTAAGGAATGAAACTGAAAAAAAAAGGCAGAATGTATTTGAAGAATTGGTTTTAATTTTGTAAATGAAAAAAAATTATTTTGTTTTTAGGAGAGGGATACCTAAGTCTATGGTGGACACTTAACCATTTCTATGCTTTCTTAGACTAAATGGTGTGGACTTGTGTTTGAGAGCCGTAAGTTTGCTTTCCTAGAATATTATTTATTTTCTGATTTTCTTATGTTACTCCTAATGTCCAGCTTTGTCATTAAAGATTCCTTGGTGGCACATTAAATTGATTCAGAAGTATGTTTCATTTCAACAAGACTTCTACTGCGTATGCCTTTTTAAGACATACTGGTAGGAAGAAAAAGCCATGACCCTCAGAGCAGGAAGCTTACATAAATGCAGCACTTACTCATTCAGCCTCCTTACTGCATCTTCCCACATACTCTGCTCTGCTTGGTCACCTGTTGCTGCCAGCCCCAAGGGTCATAAATGCTATTGGTACGGCTGTGAAACTGGCCCACAAATGCAAACCTGCCACTCGTACTGTAGTCTGACACAGTGCACTGGGGTGGGGGGGTGTATCTGGGGTGAGATCTCTGCCCTCCAGGCTCCTTTCAACCAGGAAGGCAGGACTGCTTCCACCAAACAAAATAGCTTTGCCCTTGAAATACAGACTTGGAAAAAAAACAGGCAGGAAACCTTAAGAAGTCAGTGTGTTCATGACTACTTTTAATCTCGATAAGAGAAACAAAATTAGTAAAGGAAGATTGGGTACCTCTAAACCAGCGTTTCTAGATCTCAGCACTATTGACTTGTGAGGGCTCTTCGGTGCGCTGCGGATGTTTTACAGCTTTATGGCCCCTCCGCCACCCAGATGTCAGCAGCAGCTCCTCTAAGTCGCAGCCATCGGAAATGTCTCCAGATGTTTCTAAACGTGCCCTGGGGGATGCAAACGCCCCAGGTTGAGAAGCACTGCTCTAAATCCTGAGAGGGCAACTAGGGGCCTGAAAAGCAGCGGAAAGAGCATAGAGCCTGACTCTGGCTGGTTGTGTGTAGGCAAATCTGCTTTTTCCTCCTGAGTAGTGTGGACTCAACTGCCAATAGCAATGAATAGAAGTGCTGATTTCTCCTTGATGGTCTTTGGCAAGCTCCTCCATCCTCTCCTTCCCCCACCCCCGTTAGAAAATACAGGGCGAGACAAAAGTAGGTTTACAATCGTTTCTGAGGAAAATAATACAAAAATTAATAAATACTGATACAAGGATAAATTTCTGTGTTTCACATGCTCACAACTATAACTCTACCTTTTCCACACCCTGTATGTTTCTTGATGGCGATTTCTACCATAACAGCAACCCACCTCTAAAATCCCTCTGAGCCTTTTCTCACAACCTGTAGTTGCAAAGCTGAAAGTCCTCACCTGCATGCTCAGTAGCTCCCAGATAGTCCAATGACCCAGAGGTAGAAGTTAAAGCCGTGGTACTTAGATTAGATTTATCCTTTAGCCCCCAGCCTTTTCATTTCCCCACCCAATTATTCTGGAGTCACGGGTTCTCCATCTCACCAAGCAAATTGCCAAGGGGCTTTGTAATGAGCAGGAAGAAGAACCTGATGTGGCCATACAGGCATAAAGCCTCTGGCAAAGTCAGGAGCAAGGGGCTGGGCTAAAGAGCACCTGTGTCCACAGCTCTCCCTCTATTCCTCTTAAGAAATGAGCCTGCACCGTGCCTGGGACACTTTGGGGATGAAACATTTGATGAGTTGAATTGAGAGGAGTATCTTAGAAAGTTAAAAAAAGTAAAAATACGTGCATACATTAATATTCGTTTTAACCAAAAGATTTACAGCAGATGGAATGCTGAATGTGTGTCTAACCAGGACTGTGCTGGGCTAGACTGAGCGTCCTCCCAGGTCCCCACTGAGGAAGGTAGTGTCCAGCAGAAGAACTGTTGGCTTCTGAAATACCCCTCTGTAAGAGGGAGATTTTGCAGAGAAAATTTGTCAGGTTCTTCTTCTTTGTTTTCTTTAATTAGCCTTCTCCTCTCTCCACACTGCATTTCCTCATGTTGCTGCTTCCCTCTGGCTCTTGTCAGGTATCTTTGCAAATACTGAGACTAATGTATATTGATTACTGAGAAAGGGAACCTTTTCACAGATGCCAACCTGTAGCTCATAAACCCTTTTAATTAGTGCACCTTTAATGGGGCCCCAGGATCATCTGAGAGCTTGTCTGGAGACCATAGGGGTGTGTGTGTGTGTTTCTTTTCCTCCTTGCTGAAGAGTGTTTCACTAATTGCTTTCTTTTTCTGCTGATAAAATGAACTTCCATGATCATGTTTTTGCATGCTTAGCACATTGAATTTTTTTCTAGTGCATGCAGCACTGAGCTTACTTAGATGTTCAATTAGCTATAATTGTAAGCCAAATTACAGCAGCACCAGGAGAGAGTTATTCCAACAGAGTGATTATTTGGGTTAAATTATTTCCAAAGCTGACATTTCCCTAGGAAAGAGAAAAAATAAATGCTAGTGGTAGAAGAAAAGACCAGTGTTAGTCCATCTGAAATGAAGGGCCTGATTTATTTGTCTTTTGCTCTCTGTCTTTGTTTTTATAATTTCTTAACTACTTCCCTCCCCCTCCCTCTCTCTCTCACACATTTTCTTCCTTCCTTCTCTCTCTTAAACAATAATTATTGGCTTTGGAGTTACCCAGAACCCTCTACATTAGTTGTGTGACCTTGGGCAAATCACTTAACTTATCTGAGCTCCAGTTTATCTGTTAGATGATGATAATGAAATTTATAGAGTTGCTGTAAGAATTACAAATAATATAAAGTGCTTTCTATAATTTCTGGCACACACACAGTAGCAGATATTACAAGGGGTGTTGTTGTTCATTGTTACTATTACATCATCATGCAGCCCAAGAGCAGGACATTTTTTTCTCTTGGGGAAATAACCATCGATGTGTTTAAAAATCCCACCTTTGCAAATAACACGCTACCAAGCTTATACTTCTGAGGCAGCTTGAACCAAGATCCAGCAGCCTCAGGTAGCAATGTCTTATTTACATCTTATATAAAATCAGAAGTGAAAGCCTTTAAATCAATCACAAGAACCAGAAATAATTCCCCAAACAACAGAGAGGCAAAGTAAAAATAGAAAGAAACCACGTTTATTGTGCACCTACTATTGTGTAAGGAACTATTTTAGATGATTTTAAGTGAATTACTTTACTTAATTATCTGAAAATGGAGAATTTTATTTTATTTTTTATTTTTCAAGTGAATAATGACTTTAAGCTAGTGTAGTATCGACAGCTTGTTCACTACATGGCACCGCTTTCATTGTGATGGAGAAAACAGAATAAAAATAGCCAATGTTCACAACCCAGAATTGTGGTAAAAGCAAACAAATCTACAATCCCGCAGTCCTGAAGAAAATCTGGGAGTGACCCTAGGAGAAGTTCCAGGGGCCAGAAAAACAAACCTTTCTTGATTGCAATGGCTCGTTATTGCCAAGTAAAACCAAAAAAGTAATCATCATCACTTTCTCCATTTTAATTATGGAAAAGAAGGGTCTGGAATAATCTCAAGGCTCAAAAAACATACATTGTTATTTTCCAAGCAGAAAGAACCAGAAATGATTGACAGATGCAAAACTCTCACCATGACAAGCAGAGACAAAACAAGTTATGAGGGCAAAGCACAGCAATTAGGGAAGCCAAAGAGTTCCACATTTTCTCTCCTCATTAGCACGCTGGGTGGGGAAAACAGGAGAGAGGGGTTAGCCATTACCACTAGGATATGAATACCTCATTCCTGCCTAGTTTTGTGTTGCTTGTAGTTACTCAAGTGTAGAGACTGAAGAGTTCCCCTGGTCAATTTCCTTCCGTATTTCAAGAGTCAGAAAGGCAAAGATGAGCCATTTGACATTTGCAATTTCTTCACCGGGTATCAGCTGAAGGCTCAGCTGGTACAATAACAGACTGCGGTGGCCCAAGACTGTCAGCTCAATTAGTACCGTATGCAATAGATGATGGAAAAGCAAAGTTCCTCTCCCTCCTTAGACATCCTACCTTTTATGAGGCTAACTAAAACTAAAAAGCACAGGGGCTGCACCTTTCTCTGCAGGCCAGAGATCAAGGGCAGCATAGCCACCCGCCCAGGGGCAGCGTGTTAATTCAATTAGGCTTCTTGAATTAACACACTGCCCTGGGTGGGTGCGAGGCCCTGCTGATGAGGACGTGTCTCCAAAGCATTCTCAGTTTCGCTCTATGTTTCATTAGTGAAATAAAAAGAGTATCATCTCCAATATCTGTCTTTTAAGCAATAAGCTCCTATGTAGAAAAAAGGTATCTTCAACCATCTTTAAAGAAGGTTTTAACACTCACTAATTTTACTAAACTCCACGTCTTCCTTTATGTCAACTGATCAGAAAAGGGTAAGATTCCAGCAAGACCATAAAATGCAATAAAAATAATTTTGCCCTTTAGTTTTTTTACTCATAATAATTTATGGTCTGTTTGATACCACTTCAAAAATTAATCCACAGTGAAGAATATCAAATTCTTCTTTTCAGGGTATATCCCCCTCCTCCCAAATTCAAATTAGTCTAAGGAAAAAGAATCAATGTAAAGATTGAGGATAATTTGAGATGAGCAGAATAAAAATGAATGGGACACTAGATGATGTATGTTAGTTTATTCTGTTTCAACTTTGAACTGCAAGGGACAGTGATGTGGACACCAGCCCACAGTGTCCGAGTCATTATGGATGAAATGAGACATTCATACACTACAGAGACCTTTGGAGGAAAAGGGACAGCATGTCTTTTTCTCTCAAGGGGAACAAAAGCTGTGGCCCTTGCAGTGACCTGCCTTTTATCAGTTTTCTCGGCACATTACATGATGGTCCTCATTTACTATGCACAGGTTGCTTTAGGTGGTTACCTTGTACAGACAACAAAGGAGCCAATGCTGCTAATCACGTCACAGAAGAGGGATATTTGCAAATGAAAAGACAAAAGTAGTTGAACCGGTTATACTCATCTTTGGAAGGTTTAGCATGGATTTTAGGAAGTTACTTTGCAGTAAATGTGTGCCACAAATATGAGTGAGGGAGTTTTTAGCAAAAAGCAAGACTCGAAGCAGCCTAGGCATATCACAGGCCTGATTCCCCAAGGGAGAACCTATCTGTGGGCATTAGTCCTATGCATCTCTGAGTGGGAGCTGGGCCCATGCCATGCATAATGGTCTCCTACAGGACAGAATAACAGAGAG